AAGGACTTGTGTCGCTGAAGTTTCGTCGGAACGAATTTACGGAAAATTAACTAACGAATGGAGACGTAACAATATATTATATGGCACTTACTTTTGGCATCTTGTTTTTTTTTGGCTGTCGGTTCCCACGAAATTTAAGCCTACTTTTTTATACTGATGGTACTAATACACTAATTTCTGTTTACTTGAATAATACACCTAAGAACATATAATAATAACATGTGCAAAGCAAACAATTCCTAAAGTTTCTAGACCGGAACACCTCGAAAGAAACTTTCAAACTGAATACCGAATATAAAATATTCTTTACTGAAACTAACGTAAGATAATACGTCATTTGATAGCTTAAAACATTATCTTTCTACTGGTTATAAATAATGTAGTACAAAACGTAACATAATTATTGGCAATTTCTGAAAGAAAGTATGTGACAGGTGGGCGTGGCAAGTGGGTCTGATTTTCTAGTTTATGTCTCTGTAAACAAAAAATAAGACTTTGCCTTAGTTTGTTTTGAATTTCGCGCAAAACTATACTAGGGCTATCTGAGCTAGCCGTCCCTAATTTAGCAGTGAAAAACTAGAAGGAAGGCAATTAGTCATCACCACCACCCACCGCCAACTCTTGTGCTACTCTTTTACCAACGAATAGTGGGACTGACAGTTACATTGTAACACCCCCATGGCTGAACGGGCGAGCATGTTTAGTGGGACGGGGATTCGAACCCGGACCCTCAGATTGCGAGTCGAACGCCCTAACCACCTGGCCATTCCGGGCCATTTTGCCCTACTAATATCTATATTATAATAAGTAATTTACATTCAACTCCATACTTCAGAGAGGGGTGGTAAATAAATTAGAGAAGACCAAGAGAAAAAAACGTTATGACTTTCATACCAGAAGAGTTTGGAGATTTAGATATTTCGTTTGAAAATTTATAAAATCAAAACTTATATAATATTAAAATTTGGTTTATTAACAAAGTTTTGATGCGAATTTTATTCTTATACATTAATAGCAAAGTAGTTTAATTAAATTTTGAATGTAACTCTGTAAAAGGTCATGACATGCGCACTTTGATCTACCCGTAGCGAGAGTTTCTCCACCCAAACAGTCAAGGTCATACCCAGCCCTTTAATACGTCATTGTTTGTAAAAGTACATACGCAAGTATGAAAACAAGGCCGTGAGCTGAGAGGCAGCTCACTCTGGGTGTGGGTATACGTTAGTAAAGTCATGTTGAAGATGATGCTGTATCTTATCACTCTCGTGGTGTATGGTAAGTTTAGGATATTTTTTATTTACTGTTGAAACAAAACTTTTCATGTTTGTATAAAAAAAATTAGTTTTACAATCTTCGGCGTCAGATAAAGAAACTTTAATAAAACAAATACTGTTACGAAATATTTGGTCGTGGAAGGATTAAGGAAATCCACTAAGTTTAAATATACTTTAAATGAGTTTAGAAAAATTATACATGTTCTGAAGTTATTTCATTTTAGGAGAAAAATAAATCACGTTATCCTAATTAGTGATAAGATTTGGATGGACGAACATGGCCTAGTGGTTAAGCATGTCTGGACTGTGAATCCTAGAGTTCATGTATTAGTTTGTTATAAAACTCCCCCTCCGTACTCTGGGGCTGAGAGTGCGCTGTAAGAGTGACTTTTAAATCCCCCCTATTCGATGAGACTAGAGTAGCCCATGAGTTAGCGGTGGATGCTGTTTACTAGTTACCTTCCCTCTTAGTCTGTCAGATCAAATTTAGGGTCAACTATGCGCACATTTTACAGTTTTTACAAAATTCTGAAACAAAAAAATATCTAAAATAAATAAGTCTAAAGACAGCTGTGGTCGTCAAACTTGAGATCCACTTGATAAACACGGACGTTTTACACTTTCTATATAGTATAATAAACTCGTCCCACACGTATTTATGTAAAGTTATAAATTATTAATTCTCTTGGAACACTATTTTCTGTGCACACAGTCATTCTGTACGCCAAGAACATTATGTAAAAACAATCATAATAATGATTTCACCTTTCAATGTGTCAAAAAAAAATGTCGGTTTTGTGTTTTTTTACTCTTAATAAGGCAGTGGTTTCTAAAAAGGTCATGTACATTTCTCTACTATCATTTAAACTGGAAAGTTGATGCACACATTCTTGAGACTAAACAATACCGTGTCAAAGAGTATAGGGATCGGTAGATGCACACATTCTTGAGACTAAACTACATTGTTTCAAACAATATAGTGATAGATAGATGCACACATTCTTGAGACTAAACTTCATTGTTTCAAACAGTATAGGGACAGTTGGATGTACACATTCTTGAGACTAAACTACATTGTTTCAAACAGTATAGGGATAGGTAGATGTACACATTCTTGAGACTAAACTACATTGTTTCAAACAGTATAGGGATAGGTAGATGTACACATTCTTGAGACTAAACTACATTGTTTCAAACAGTATAGGGATAGGTAGATGTACACATTCTTGAGACTAAACTACATTGTTTCAAACAGTATAGGGATAGGTAGATCAAGAATGTGTACAGACTAAACTACATTGTTTCAAACAGTATAGGGACAGTTGGATGCACACATTCTTGAGACTAAACTACATTGTTTCAAACAGTATAGGGACAGTTGGATGCACACATTCTTGAGACTAAACTACATTGTTTCAAACAGTATAGGGACAGTTGGATGCACACATTCTTGAGACTAAACTACATTGTTTCAAACAGTATATGAGATGGTAGATGTACACGTTTAATCATGAGATTTTGATGTGTTATTACATTTACTGTAATTATACCAATTTGAAGTTTACTCTTCTCAACAACTGAAACTATGGTTCCACAGAAAATGTCGTTGAAATAAAATAAAACTTGGAGTTCGGTAAAGAAGCAAGTCGTGGTTTACTACATGGAACAGAAGTCTAGTGCTAAAGGACGATTTGTGAAGAGCAATTATAATCGTATGAAAACGGATGCTTTGAAAACAGAAGAAAAACAACAACAATAGAACAAAGTTAATTATCGTTTAGGAATCCAGAGGAAAAAAAAATCCAGATCTGTTAAGAATGAAATGTTGTCTAAATTCCTGTTCTCTCGTTAAGTCTGATTTATATTGTTACTTAATAAAGATTACCATTGCATTTGGTCTCTTATACTATGGTACATAATGTGTACTGGTGTGCAACTGTCGAAAAATAACTAGTGACAGACACTCGAGCTGGTTGCTCTTATGCAGTTTATTTAATGTCTGTCTAGTTACTAATATGTGCAAATATACGACATAGAGACTTGCATCTACAGAAATGTGGTGTGTTTGCGCTTGGAGTTCTATGCAAATATGGATGTTGCATAAAGTAATTCACGAGTGTTGTATGACAGGAAGTATTCAAATACACAGTGAACCCTAATCTCAAGTAATTGTATTAATGATTGTGTAAAGGATTACATATCAAAACTGAAATGTTAAGGAATTAACTACACTGGTCACTGTCCTGTAATGCATCATAGGAAGGTGTGATCTACTTGACATTTCGATTAATGCTGGTGTGAAAATGATTGGGCACAAATATTCAGGTTGTTAACTTTATGTTAACTTTAACTATTCGTTTGTGTGATCTACTTGACATTTCGATTAATGCTGGTGTTAAAATGTTTGGGCACAAATATTTGTCAGGTTGTTAACTTTATGAAAATATAAGATTAACAAGTGAGCTCACACTTCATTTAAAGAAAACTTTGTGATATTCGACGTTTTCATTGATAGCAGTAAAGAATATTTTAACTGGATAAATTCACAATATTCGTGAGTGGCGAAAATTATCTGTAGAAAGTAAAATCCACAGGCAGTAGCTTGCTTATCGTACTAAAAATATTTGTTAGATCCAATGTTTCTGGGAGGGTTGGAAATGTTATATTAAAAAGGTTTTGAATATGTAAATCAAAAGTTACGTGGCATCCACAGCCAATATAGAGTTGTGGTGTAATGGCATGTATCAGAACTACGTTTTGACAATGTTTGACATTACTTAGTGCGATGTCACCTAAAATTGGTAACTTTGGGAAAAGTATGTAACGGCTCTTTTCAACACAAAATATTCATACACTCTGATCATAAAGATGTGTTCAGATTGGGAATTTAGAATTTCCAAAATGGAAATATTCCTTATAGTTAATAGCATTTGAAAACAAAGGAAATATGAATCAACTTAGGGTAATAGGACCATCCAGACGGAGACCTACAACAAGTCATACAGTAGCTCTGGTAAGCAAAGTGTGGCATTTAACGGGTGAAATTTGACGAACATGACGATTAATAAAGTTTAGAGACGGCTTGGATGGGTAGTGAAACAAATTATTACAAATGTACAACGATTCGACAAAATTGTGTTATCAAGGTACCTGATGATACATGCTTGTCAAAACGTTGTACAATTGTAATAGGTTCTTTCACTACCCATTCAGACAGTCTCTAAACTATATTTTCTAAAAAGTGGGTCATCAAATTTAAACCCAAAGATTGGTAGTAAAAGCTTTCCACATGTCCCATGTAAAAGTACACAACATAATCAGGAAGGATCTTCTTATGGAAAAGTAACGCAAGTCACGTGCGCACAAATTTCTTCCATAATAACTGATATTCATGTTATTTCATACAAAGTCATAACGGATGCACTGTCTATAGATTTATTTGCAATTGGTTTCTCAGTGCATATTAACTTCCTTCTTGCACATTAGATGGATTATGGAAAATATGCGAGCAGGAGTGGTGTACGTTACACGTGACAACCTTACACTGGAGCCTTTTGCAAAAGAAACTGTGTTGCAAGGCTATTATCAAGTTACATAGTCGTCAGAAATAGCACGACTGGACATGGACTGTAACGACTTGGTGAGGCTCCAAAATCATTTTAATATAACATAATCAACCTTGTATTCGGTTGTGAATTATATTAACAAAAAAGCAACTTAGTAAGCACAAAGCTTCGCATTGCGCTATTCTGTGCGGTTTCCACTGCGATCATTAAAACCTGACTGTATTATAAGTCCTCTTACGACTGAAATACTGTGGGTGGGGGAGTGTTTCAGTGCGTGATAGTGTAGACTGAAGGTATAGGCTAGGATAGAAAGTAACACCTGTGTCATTAGTGTTTTAGTTATTTGTGTTGAAGCCAGAAATTATTTTTACACCCCTTCTTTCTTCCTTATTTGTTACTGTAACAATCAGACAATCTTCTTCTTCCGTAGCTTTTTCCCGTATCTATACGGGGTCGCTATTTTCGGTTTTGGCAGGGTTTTTACGGCCGGATGCCCTTCCTGACGCCACCCATCCCCCTAATTTAGCAGTGTAAGACTAGAGAGAAGGCTGCTAGTCATCACCACCCACCGCCAACTCTTGGGCTACTCTTTTACCAACGAATAGTGGGATTGACCGTCATATTATAACGCCCCCACGGCTAAAAGGGCGAGCATGTTTGGTGGGATGGGGGCGCGAACCTGCAGATTGCGAGTCGAGCGTCTTACCCACCTGGCCATGCCGGGCCTTGTAACAATCAGACAATGGTTGAAGATTTATAAAAGTTATATTAGGTATTCTCTTGGCAACGGTGAGTAGTACGGCCACGCTCTGGTTAAGTGTGAGACTTTAATGAAACAGTGTATCAGGACATTCATGTGTGCAAGGGGTTCATTTACTACAAACAATATGTACATCAGCAAACAAAAGCCTGTAGAAATACACTTTATCACGACAATAGTTTCAATACTATCTAAAAGCAAGTTCTAATTGGACCATTACAACCTTAAAACCTACACTTTTAGCTGAACTTTTGATCAATCAAAATCTATTTCACACCATATCTTCATTCCTGACTTCTATACAACATCAATTCCTTGATCTTTCTGACTATCTTGTCAAATAATCTGGACAGTTGTGATTTATTTATCTTTGCTTGACTACCCGCATTTATTTTTCCGTTCATGGAAGGAAATAACCTGGAAGGTTATCCTGATATTTACCTGACCTTCAGTCTGGCCAATGGATTAAAATGAGTTGCTGGTCAACTGATCTGAAATACAGGTTCTGGTAGAGGCCACAAACTGATTAGCCATAGGGCGATCACTCATCTGCTGATGACACGATATATCCTGTTAGCCATCAAAAGAAGTAACAAACAACCATCTGTCTCAAAAGAGTTGTCAATTATGGCAAGTACAAGTATTCCCTTCCACTATAAACTTCACCAAATCATG